GCACCTGCTCCTGGGTGCAACTGGGGCCCTTCTGGCCCAGGCTGTTGGTCATCCAGCCGTAAATGTCCACATTCCTGCATCTGGTGCAGAAATCCTGGAGGTTTGCCTCCTCTCCCCAGTGGACCTCAATGAGATCCAGGATCTCTGCACCAGACCAGGAAGGGGCTCTCTTCTTCTGCCTCTGGAGCTGGCTGCCGGCTCCCTTGGAGCTGTGGAGGGCTCAGTAGGAGCATGAGAGCGCTCATGACAGCAGCAAAAGCAGTGAAGGCTGCTGCTGCATGGCACAGAGCCAGCAGGGCTTTCCTTGTGCCACAAGCCCCTTTGCCTGTGGCTGCAGCTTTAAGAGCTGATGGGGAACTATGGAGTTCTGATGAGTGTGGACAGAGTGGCCACCAGGGCACCTGTGAGAATCCCTGGAGGCCACTTATTTCAAAATAAGCACAGCTGTGCTGTCTACACCCACCCTATTTCAAAACAGGCGTTATTCCTCCTCAAATGAGAGTTACAGATTTTGTAATAAGAAGCCCGTTATTTTGAAATAAAGGCCTTGCTATTTCAAAATAATGTGAGTTATTTCAAAATAAACCGGCAGTGTAGACATGCCACTGGGCTACTAACTTCTAAGGCAGCTTATAGCTCATCCCTTGGCTGTCCCCTAGGCTATGTCTACACTGGTGCGATCGAGTGCTAGAGCTATGCAAATGATGCTAAGCGTGGAATATCGCCGGGCCTCGTTTGCATATCTAAGTCGCCATTTTTGCGGAAGAGGCTCTTGCGCCAGAAGGAGCTGTCTACACTGCCCCTTTTTGCGCAAGAAAAACCCTCTTGCGCAATGCGGTTACACTGATTATTTTCAGGAATAACGGCGTTGCGCGAGAGGGTTTTTCTTGCGCAAGAAGGGGCAGGGGAGACAGCTCCTTCTGCTACGCACAAGAGCCTCTTCTGTAAAAATGGCGGCTCATTAGATATGCAAATGAGGCTCAGCAATATTCCACGCTTAGCCTCATTTGCATATCTCGGGTGCAAGATCGCACCAGTGTAGACATAGCCCTAGGCTGCGTCTAGACTGGCAAGTTTTTCCACAAAAGCAGCCATTTTTGCACAAAAACTTGCCAGCTGTCTACACTGGCCGCTTGATTTTGCGCAAAAGCACTGACATTCTACTGTCCGAAATCAGTGCTTCTTGTGCAAATGCTTTGACGTTCCCATTCGGGCAAAAGCCCTTTTCCAGAAATGTTTTTGCGCAAGAGGGCCAGTGTAGACAGCTAAAAACTGTTTTGTATAAAAAAGCCCTGATGGCGAAAATGGCGATCGGGGCTTGCGCAAAACCTCATCTAGATTGGCATGGGCACTTTTCTGCAAAAAGTGCTTTTGTGGAAAAGGGTCCGTGCCAATTTAGACACTCTTTTCCGCAAATGCTTTTAACGGGGGGAAAAAAGCTTTTAACGGAAAAACTTTTCCGTTAAAAGCATTTGCGGAAAATCATGCCAGTCTAGACGTAGCCCCTAGTGTTTACCTCACTTAGCTAACCTGTGAGAACTGCAGACTGCGTCTGCCATATCAAGAGCTCACCTCAGCTGGTAGTTAACAAAATTTCCTAGTAAAAAACTAGGACTCAGCACCTTTAATCAGCAAAGTCTCTTCCCTAACTGGAGGAGATGTAGCTTCCTGCTGGGGGAAGTTTGCTTTGGAGGCTGCCCACTTCCCTGAGAGACATACCATGCATTTCTGAACTTTTCTTAATCACTGCTGTGGGTGAGAGGAATTCCGTTACAAGCTGGCTGGCAAATGTCAGCTCACACTTTCACTTGACAGACCTGCTGTGGTGCAGGGTAGCTCAGGACCCTACCAGAATGCAAGGAGCGTGGGGGACAGGCTTTCTGTGCAAGTATAGGACATTAGGGGTGTGTCTATACAGCAGCGTTATTTAGGAATAACTGACATCTACATTGCAAGCCATTACTTTGAAATGAGCTGGCTGACTTCTTACTCCAACTCCTGTTACCCTGATTTTACAAGGCGTAAGGGAAGTCGAAGGAAAGTGTTCTTCCTTTGACTTCCTGCTGTGTAGTCAGCACCAAAAGCCAAGTTTAAGCTATTTTGACTTCAGCTGCACAATTAACGTAACTCAAATTGCATAGCTTAATTCGAGTTTTGCCCTGTGGTGAAGAGGTGCCCTAGGTGCACAGGCACAATGTGGTGATTAGGCAGAAGGAACTAGTCACCACAGTGATATATGGTATCTGGTCATTTTAAACTATTGTGTCATGTTGTCCAACGTGTCAGAAGCTATTGACCTACACTATCTGGCAATAACAGGCAGAGGCTACGTCTAGACTGCTGCTTTTTAATCAGAAAAAGATACACAAACTGTGCTCCGCAATTTGTGTTCCTTTTTCCAATAGTTTTGTCAGAAGAGGCTTTTCTGAAATTTGGCCCGTCTACACTGGGCCAAATTTTGGAATAACCTCCTCTTTCAGAAGAGCCCTTCTTCCTCATGGCTCAAGGAAAACAGAGCTTCCGAAAGAGCGCATCTGCTCTTCCAGTTCCCTGCACGCAGTGGAATTTTTCCTGGGATACCTCCAGTATCCCAGAAAAACTCCGTAGTCTAGATATAGCCTGAGGAGGAGAGGGAATGAAGGCCTGGGTGCAAGCATCTGTGCAAGACGACAAGAGCATGCGTAAGAATGAAGGTACTTGTCTCAGTGAAAAAGCTGGAAAATGACAGGATGAGTGAGGGGACAGGTGCATCAGAATATGAGAGAACAAATAAAACATACCAGACAGAGGAAGGCAGAATTAAACTGTAAATGTGATTGAGAGAAATGACAGGTTTTGCTAACATCAAAAATAAATAAGATTTTATAAAATAACTCACCCTCAGTGCAGGGTATATTTGGCTTTTGATGTTAAGTCTTGAGGGCACTCCACACAGTCACTACTTCTATTAGCTCCAGTTCCTGGAGCGATCTCTCTCAAGCTTTATAAGTGACACCACAAAAGGAGCTGGTCCACCTAGTCTGATCATAGCTGGACATGAAAGTTACAAATGCACATTTTTGTGTATGAATGGTTATGAAAATTTGTGTTTCAGAGCTCTTCATCTAGGGAGATTACATAGAGAGCTACAAAGCACGTGCAGGGAGAGGAAGATACACATCTGCGCTTTCAAGAATTTTAGTGTCCTCTTATCTCAGTTGTGCATTACTTATTCACATAGTCAAATTCCATGGCCATTTCAAAGATAAAAATGTAGACCTACACCAAGCTGTGGTTCAGAACATGAATAGGTAAATAGGGAAAACTAGGAGGGTCCTTAGACAGCTATTAAATTAACACATGAACCTGTTTGCTGCCATTCCTTCTCTCTTATGCTGCCTTGCCTCTCCTCTTAGCTTCCCCACCCACTATTGGAATCTAACAGCGCTAGTGGGGCTCTGCAGAGATTGGAATGAGGACCCTCAGAGTGGCGAAACCAGAAAGAGCTGCGCAGGATTCTTCAGAGCCTGCTTGACAGCATTCTACCGTGACTCCATTCTGCTCTTGTCCCCTCAGTGGAGATGCTCAAAAGTGCCCTTCCAGACAACAGCGCTGCCAACACTCATGGTCAGGGGGATTTTTCCCTGACCCAGGCACTATGGAGTTACCCCATTTGGAAAGAATGAAAGGAAGTTTCTGCTCCTCATGCTTGTAGAGAACATTGCTAATCATGGCTTTCAAGTAACCAGACCAGTCTCATTCTCCATTTACATACATATACACACACATTATATATATATATATATGTAGCACCTGCTTTCTATTCTACTAGCCAAATTGGTTTCTGGGCATTTTATTCTGCCCTCGTAGTAGCCCCATCTCACCAATAGCTATTAAAGCAGCAGGTTCCAGGAGGACATTCAGCCCAGTACTCCAACCCTGTGGTTTTGAGGATTTCATTTTTGAAAGCCACTTCTTGAGAGAAGCCAGTGCAGAGGATGCTTCATCAGTTCCCTGGAAGACCCGGGCAAATCACCATTCTGGCACTGTGGGTCTGTAGCGCTCCTAGGGGTAGCTTAAGACGAAGCAAGAGCACAAGATTTCATGCTGAAATGCGTCTATAGGGGTAGGGAAACAAGGGATTAATTCCAGAGGGTGGGGACTGGCTGTTCCACCAGAAGTGTGTTTGGAGAGTAAATTGCATGTATGTGCATGCTCACCATAAAAAGGATACTGTTTTCTATTATTCTATGCCCCAGGAGCTTTTTGCCTCTAAGGTTACAGAAGCTGCAACTCTGTTATTGCTACCCTGACTTATGAGCACTGGCTCCTATGTGTTTTAAAGCTACAAGTTTTGTTTTAGGTACTACAAAGAATCAACTCATCTGCTCAAGTCAATCCTGTGAGTGTATTTGGGACTAAAATGCTGCTTGTAGTGATGATTTAGAGGCCTTAATCTTGAAGGAGGCAGCTACCACACCACCATTGTACAACTCTGTTATTGCTACCCTGACTTATGAGCACTGGCTCCTATGTGTTTTAAAGCTACAAGTTTTGTTTTAGGTACTACAAAGAATCAACTCATCTGCTCAAGTCAATCCTGTGAGTGTATTTGGGACTAAAATGCTGCTTGTAGTGATGATTTAGAGGCCTTAATCTTGAAGGAGGCAGCTACCACACCACCATTGTAGTCTGCTCTCATTTTTGGGGGAAGGGGGAGGGTGAGGCGGGGGGGAGGGGGAAGAATCCATCTCTTCCCCCACCCCTCCCAACCCTCACAGATACCACCATGTATCAGTGACTCCTATCCCACAGTCCTTTGTGATTAGATTGGCAAGCCTGTTCAGCTCCAGATATTTCCACAACTCAGTATTCTAGAGATGCACAGACTGTGGCAACTCAGTACCTGTGGTAGATTTGAAGTCACCAAGTTTATGGAACCCAGATTTGCACTGCTTGACATTCAGGGGGGCTGAAGGCAGTTGGTGCATCTTCCATTCACTCAAGATCCTTGATGGTAAGAATTTTTAACTCAGCTTTTTTATTAAAGATTTGCAGAATATACAGAAACATTGTAACAATCAGGGCAACGGATAGGTTCTTAGGAGCTGCTCACCTACACTTACAGAAATTTCAGATAAAACATTCTGTACAAGGAGCATGTGTCACAATGCATGTAACTTGTAAAACATTCATTAGGAGTTACACGAGATCAGAATGGACCAGTTTAAGCAGACAGTTACTACTGACCTAAATGGGATTTTTAAACTGGTTCTGATAGGACAGAACTGGAGTTCAGGGAGGTGGTAGAAGAACAAGGAGTAGTAGTTGATCGAATAGGGTAACAAGGGGACTCAATCATATGCATTGAATTAGACAGGGGTGGAAAGTGGGGTAAGCTAATGGGGATGAGAAAGGAGGAATATTTTGTCCTATTAACACATCTGAGTAGAAGATTGCCTTTTTTCCATATCTCCAAGGAGCCATGGAAACTTGAGTCTCAGCATCTGGAGGCAAAGCATTGTATGCATTGGCATCATTTCAGAGAGATACATATACTATAGCTTATCAGTGATAAAACACAGAGGTAGGCTTGAACATAGGAAGCATGTTATGATATAGTGAACTGGCCTTTGATTTGTGTTGACTCGTAACCTGCTTTTATCTTTTAAGACTGAAAAGTTAGGTATGACAGAAGGTAGAAAACTGTCTGCCTCCTTAGAAGATATATCTTTAAGAGAAGCCAGAACTAAAAACAAATTGTAAATAAACTTGGCAATTCTCGCAGCTGCATGTCTAAATTTCCTCTTCCTCGCAGGGAAAAATACCAGCAGCAGCTCTTCAGTGCTGTGACAGCATCTCACATACACTAAATACAAAAAGCCTTGTGCATCAGGTTTGTTCTGAGATCATTTTCATTAGCCCTAGTTTAAATACATTGTTTTCTGGAGCAAGTACATTTATGAGCCATTTCCTTTTTCAATGCCATCTCCAGAATGATCAGAGCATCTCTCGTACTCAAGTAGTCTTCAGAACAGTGAAGTATTGGGGTCAGTTAAATAGGCATAAAAAAAAAAAAAAGTCAGCAGAACTCCAGCCAGGCTATGGGAGAATGACATTCTTTTCTGGAGGGGTCAGCTCAGTATACTAGTCTGTCCGGTTTTCAGAGTAACTGAATGGGACCATAACGAGGGAACTGAAAGAGCCTCAAGTCCTCCATAGCACAAGAGGAATAGTACAGATGGATGAATGCTGTTTCATGCACCAAGATTTCAGAGGGGTTGGTGGGAAGCCACTGGATCTTCAGTATTCAATTCTGCTCCAGTAGAACATGGTGCAGATAAGAACCCAGAACTATTAAAAGAGATTAAAAAAAAAAAAAAAAAAAAAAAAAAAAAAAAAAAAAAAAAAAAAAAAAAAAAAGCTGTTAGTGAAGAAAGAGGATTTAAAAAACAACAAGACAGTCCCATAGTCAGACATTTCAGCAGGTCAAGTCAGGGATTTCCATCAAGGAATCCATTCCCAGTAGGCATAGGAGATTGCATACAGGAACCAACTGTTCAATACAAGAGTTGTGCTGCAGCAGGGCAAGCTATTTGTAGCCAACAATTCACAAAAGGGACTAAACTCAGATTGTTTATTTGCCATTAGGCTGTGGAACAGAATGCATCAAGTGAAGTGCTTATGAAGAGCTTTCAGTCTAGCAAGGACCCTCCAACTTTTCTCCATGACTATTTCCTAGGTGAACAGTTGCTCATCATGAGTAGCAAATACTCAAAGTCACGGTGTATTTTCCACTCTGCTCTCATGACTCAAGTCCAAAGAACTTCGGAGTGGCCCCAGGAACCCTTCCAGTCAGAGTCTGTTAGCAAAAGTAATTGAGCAAGACTGGAGCTGCCCAAATGTTTGTGAAAAGCAAATAAAAGTGGAATGGTGAATATCCTAAACATCTGTTTGCATTAAGAACAACAAACTTTTTGGCAACATTTACCACCTCTGTCTAGGCGAAGGGCAGGAGTTTATATTTATTGGCACACTTAACTAGGTTGACTTTGTGGGCAATGGGATCAATCCACAGACAGAATTTTGGTTTACAGCGTGAAAAGAAAGCAAGTTAATTCTTCAGTAGATATTCTATTTAGATCAGCAGCAACAGGGTGCCCTCTCTCAGCATGAGATCAGATTAGTACTGGTGATCTTCAGAACACAGCCTTAGCTCTGTTCCATTTAGTAAAGCATCATAACCTGAAGAGAGTCCTTCACGACAGCCCACGTCCCTTATCCTGCCCATCCCTTCTTCGAACTGTGTTCCCATCTCAGAATGGCCCTACTGTTGTATGTGGAGCAACTAGTTCTGTAAGGATCAGTCCTTTCACCAGTGCCAATCCCCCCCGCACATGGAGTACAGAGGGAAGCAAAAGCAGGAATTAAGTACTCACAGTCCAGCAGAGAATGGCAAAGCCAAACCAGGCAACACCCCAAGCATGTCTGTTCATTGGACCAGAGATAATGTCATAGCAACCCTGTGGGAACAGAGCCAATAAGAAGCAAGTCAAGACCAGAGTTTGAGTTTTACCAACTGTGACACAAGCTCAGATCTTTCGGAGAGCAATTTGAGAAGGGGGTGGGTCTCATTCTTCAGGAATCAAACACACTTAACTAGTTAGCTTGCATAACAAGTAGTAAGCTAGAACATACTTTGGTTGCACTGTTACAATCACTGTCCAAATGTACAAGTTGGCATCCCTCTATCTTCTAACACTGACTGTAAACTATGGCTCTGTCAACTCCCAGCTAGAAGAGGAAGAAATAGATCCCGAACATGTCTTTGTATTCCCTCTAGACCTCAAGCATTTGAGAAGGCTCTGTCAAGCCACTGTATCGACAATTATGCCTTTCACCTGGAATCACCAGGAGATCAAGGCTTTTCTGTTTTGCCGGTGGGATTATAGCTGGAGACAACAGTCCTTTGCTAAGTTGCCAGAAGCAATGGTCACCTGAACCACCCCCCAACCTCCACCTCCAAATACACGTGTTAGCTGCTGTCAGTCTGACCCTGTGAACAAGCTACTCCACTGAATATAGTCTGCTATTCTGGCTTCCTCCTATCCCCAAAACCCAAGCAAGGTACAGTTTGCCATGAACTGCATCACGGCGAGTTACTAGCACATGAGAAAGGTGCCAAAAGTCCCTTTTAAGCTACTGAAATCCTTGAAAGCTTCCCAAAAGGTACCCAGTCAGCATGGCTTTGACCCTTTCCACCTCTAGAACTGGGCCCATTGGGTACAGGAAGATAGTTTAAGTCACAATTTACATATCAGTCAAATGCCTGGTGCTCAGCCAACACTAGCAACTATGAAAAGCTTGGTCATGAAGCCAGCCACCCTCACAATGCAATTCCTTTTTGGTCTATTGTCCTGGGCTGGCGTGGTGTACCAGTTCCATGGGGACAGCATCCCTCTGTCTCCAAGGTCCCAAACAGAAGGAATGCTCCTGCGCTATTCTGTCCTGGACCAGTGATGTAGATGGAAAACTACAGACATTTCTCCTTCTCAGAAAGCCTTTGGGAGCCAGCAGACAATCCCAGTCTCCTTATAGGCTTCCAATCTCCATTGTGCTCCAGCTGGTATTCTCTCCCTCCTCCCCCAAAAAATCAATCCCCATGAAGCAACCCAGTGCTTAACTTGTGTGCCAACACTGAGCCCCGGTACCTCTAGGCTCAGCAGTTCATAGCCCTGGTTCCTCTGGGCTTGCTGCATCAGTTATGCATGTAAAACCATTGCTTTAGCCCCAGCAAATTAAGCACAGAGGTAATCCCACTTACACATGACAGAGAAAGTGGAGAGAGATTCTTACCTTGTTATTATAGTAGCCTGCAACACCCAATTTGCAGCCATCCAAATTGATTGGAATGCCTTGAACATCCATGACGCAGCACTGGCGTGGCCAAGGGAACTCTGAATCACTGTTCCCTTTCCGGAAGACAGACATGTAGTTCTGCCAGTCAGATGGGCCATTCACCCCACAGCACTGATTCTGGATTGGGGTGGGGTGGGGTGGGGAGGGAAGAGAGAGAGGAGTATTGATCCACCTGCACCACAGGGCTACAAGCATTATGCAGAAATTGACACCCAATCTTGAAGTCTTTTCCCTCCTCATACTTCTCCCCCCCTTGGCACAGGGATGCGCTTGCATTATACTAGATACCAACAGGGGAAAAAACAACATGTTGACCCTGAAGTGTCATTCCATGCCCCCGCAGGATTGGGGGCTGGAGGTGAGGCAAGGGCTGCTCTGAAGATTCCAAGCCGGATTCTAGCCAGCTTTTATCACTGGAAGATTCAGGGGTGGGAAATGTTGCAGAGCTGTATAATGTTTAGATCCAGTCTTTGGTTATAGGAGCACTGGTCACCTGTAGCATGAGGCGGTCCCATGTCCTGGTGACGCCTTCACTCATCCACTTATCATCGTTGCTAGCTGGCTCTGGGTTCTGATACTTCTCCAGCATTTGCCTCAGGAAGAGGTTGGGTGTAAACTACAGGACAAAGGAGATCGAGAGAGCACCCATGATGTTAGTAGAGAGTCATAGATTCCAAGGCTATGATCACTGAGATCATCTAGTCTGACCTCTTGTGTAACACAGGCCACAGAACTGCCCTAAAATAACCCCTACAGCAGATCTGTTAGGAAAACACATCCTGTATGGATTTAGAAGTAGTCATTAGTGATGGAGAACCCACCACATCTCCATGCTAAATTGTTCCAAACATATACCTCATTTCCAGTCTGAAGTTGTCTAGCTACCTGTCTCTGCTAGACTGAAGTGCCTGTTAAATATTGTATAGATACTCATAGAATGTAACGAAGTCACCCTTCAAATCTTCTCTTTGTTAAGCTAAGTAGACTGAACTTGAATATCTCACTATAAATGCAGGTTTCCTAATCCTTTGATCATTCTCCTGGCTCTTCTCTGAGTTCTCCAATTTATCAAGACCCTTCTTGAATTGTGGGCATCAGAACTGCACACAGTTTCAGTGGTCACACTAGTGCCAAATAGAGGGGAAAATAACCTATTCCTACTGGTCATTCCCCTGTTTATGCATCCAAGGATCATGTTAGCCTGTTTAGCCACAAAGTCATCCTTGGAGCTCATGTCCAGCTAATTTTCACCATTACCTACTCCTTGGGTTAGAGTTCTTCATCCTATAAGTGTGGCACATATTCTTTGTTCCTAGATACAGTTAGTCATTTTAAAATGCATATTGATTGTTTATGCCCAGTTTATCAGGTTATTAGAGGCGTTCTGAATGGAGTATGTTTTCTGTTTGAATGCTAGTAGAGACCCAGCAAACACAGCTTTGGGCAAACACGTTAGGAAGTCCGGCATCTCAGGTTGGAAAAGAGAGGAGTTAGAGAACAGGACTCTGGGAGCATCAGAAAACCCATAGATTTCAGAGTCCGACAGCTGAACATGTACTTGGAACTGTTTACCTAGGAGAAGGCAAGGAAAGAAGCTATTTGTTACTGTTTGGAGCAGAGTTTCCTGTAAGCTGTATACTTGGGTGGCTACCCGGGAGAGATTTAGTAAAATGCCTATAGCCATCAGCATGTGTTTCTAATAGCGATGCACATCCACACATTGTTTGGTGTGCATAAGAAATTTTATTCCTCACAAAGATGGAAAAAGTTAGAGGGGAACATTGGTCTGGAGGGTTGTTTGGAGCAAACCACTGCACAGACAGCTTTTTCCAACAGCTCTATGCACCTACATGAGTCTCTTCCCTAGACCAGAAATGCTTCAATAGCAAGAGCAGACATTTTCCATCATTAACACCGACAATATTGTCACTCTGTACCTGAGAAAAATGTCAAGGCCCAGTAGCCTCAGTTAATGAGCCGATTCAGCTTGCATAAGAAATTCTTCTTTCCTTGGCCCTAAGTTATGGAATTACCTATGCCTTTTCAAAGTATCTTCCTTTTGTTGTTAGTCTGGTATCCATAGCTGTCCATTCTCTAGCCAGCCTTCTCCAGGTTTCCGCTCTGCCCTGGCTGCATTGTGTATATGTCCACAAAATGGCAAAACTCTATATTCAAACACCCCACCTCCACCTTACTGAGAGAACATGGAGCAGAAACCACTACTCACAAAATCTCGATGAGTTGCTGCTGTGATGCAAGAGGCCACTTCAAATCCATAGGTGATCAACATTAGAATGATGTACTGGGGGAAGGAATCAGAACAGAACGTACCGTTAGCTCTCAGACCCAGGTCTATTCTCACAACGTGCTGCCTCAGAGTGTGGTGCTACAAAAGATGCAAGGTATTTTGGAGCCGGATTCCTTCCCAACCCAACCCTGTGAGTCCTAACCTCCACATGTATCTGAACAACCATGTGACTCAGAATTAAGTTCCTCCCCACTCCAACTTGGGAGTCCACTCATTCAAATTCTACCCTGTCATTAACAGATAGATTCCTTAATCTGGATTGAAGAGAAGCCCTATCATTACTTACTGATTACCTTATTCCCTGAACCATAAGGGTTCAGAGTCTCATTTTATTTATATTTTGCCTAACAGAACTCAGACCGCTGTCCATCATCAATATGGGGGTCTTGTTCTTCTTAGGAAGCAGCTACATGCTTTGTCCCAGTGATATCTTGAGTGCAGGCTTGAGGTGCATTATGGGGCACAGAAAGTTAGTTGTGTTCTCAGTCTTAAAATTTGTTTCACGGGATTTCTGGATTACTCTGTGTGGAAGGCACAGACCAGACTTCACTCTGCCTCTTATCTGCTTCTCAAGGAGCTCTGCTGAAGCTGCACAATGGTCAGTTGATGACACATCTGAGCACCATTTTAGCATTGTCTGCAGCTTGTCCAACAACTCTAAGACACCTCCCAGTCAGATAGAGATTATGTAAGGCCAAGTTTCCTCACAGCAATGATTCAGCCACATTTTAGAGGGGTCAATATTTTATACAACCCAGCAGCAAACAACGAGAGGACAAGCTTGAGTGGCCAATAGGAATTTACATTGTATGACTACATCAAATAAGGTATTTGTACCACGCCTGTAACCATACACTGCCATATTAAGGCATCCCAAAAAAATGATACGAGATTATATTGTCAAAAACCCCAGCCAACTTTTATACAGCTACAGCCCTTGCATTACAGGCCAGACGATAAGCACCGTAGCCCACTATGAGACCACCATTTTGATTCCTATTCCCTCAGCCTCTCTCTCAAACCAACCCAGCTAATGGGGGATGGGAAGTGGGTTGTGATATGAACCCCCTCCTGGGCCCAGATCAGTAAATAAGGAGACTCTTGCCGTCCCTATTGGTAGACAGTTTTATTGAAGGAAAGTAAAGTTGAAGTAGCAAGTGCCAACTTGTTCTGGAGGGGACAAGATTCAGTCCTCCATAGGCCCTGACTCCATGGGTGCTGTGAGGCTGGAGCATCTATGGAAAAAACTTAGCACTGAGCACCCACTGGCACCAAGTTCCTCCCTCTGCCCTCCCAACACCTTTCACACACCAGCAGCCCCACCCTTGCCAACTCCTCCCCAGCACTTCAGAGTGCTTTGACTAGTTTATTTGCCACATTCACGCTCAGGGGGTGGGAAGAGGAAGGAGTGGGGACAGGTTGCACTCAGTGGAGGCAGCAGGAAGGAGGTGGGAGAGGGCCTGGAGCAGAGGTGGGATGGGCAGGAGAAATCTCATCTTTTTAGAGGATGCTTAAGTTGGTGTCTATGGTTACCACAGAAATAATCTCCCATGCTCATGTCCCTCTTCTGGCTACAGATTCCCTCTCTTCCTGAGTGTCAAGGAGAAAAGGGGAGGCCTTCATGCCATTTAAGGCCTGGACCATTATAGCCCAAATCTGGATGTTATCTGTGAGTGCAACTGATGGTGAGCACAGGGAGCAGAGTACTGCGATGACATGATCTACATCAGTTAATCTGTGGACGAATCTCACTCCACTTACCGCCAACAGCATCGTCCTGTTTGACTTAATGACGCCAACAATGCCCAGGACAGAGAGGTTAAAGAGAGCAAAGCCGACAAAGATTCCAATCCAGGCTGCACCATAGATGTCATCATTGTTAGTGGCTTCCAGCAGAGGGTACAGGGTCTGCTGATCTGACACGAAGAAGATGCACTCGGCCGTCAGCGCAATGCCACACATCTGAGAATCACAAGTCAGACTCACATCAGAGCAACCCAAAACAGCACCACAGCTACATCTAAGGAGAGCTTCTATTCGTCACATTCCTCCAGCTGCCCAACACACAAGGCATGAACTTCCCAGAAAGACCACTCCCTCCCCACAGGCCTACAATCCATAACGTTCTGTCCTCTCCAAGGAACTGGGAGCATAAAACCCACTGAGCATGGACGCCCCTCCCCCCAGGCCAGCATAGCACTTACCTGGCTGGTCTTAAAACAAGATTTGGAGCATTCCTTTAAGAATGGCATTAACATAACCCTTCCCGTTGCTGTGGGAAGGAGCTTAGCTGGAAGGAGGGCTGTTCTTGCCAGAACCTTATTCAAGGCACAACAGCTTGTTCTTCTAGATATGCTGCTGCTGTCCCTACTTCCCACCATGTCATGTGTCCTCACCCATCTGTCCCTTACTGAATTCATTTGCTTACACAAGTTAGCAGGGACCTTGACCTCTCACCTAGCACTGTATTTATTTTATCTTACCATGTCAGTGGCCTCATGACTGGGATAGCCTTTCATAAGAGTACATCTGAGAGGGAGCGAAGAGTCCCCGAAGCAGCCAGCCTTCCATCCCTGCCCCTCACGGCCTCAGATCACTTACCCCAATAATCACATTGCCAAGAATTAGTAGGGCTTGGAAAAAGCGCACTCCGTTGTCCCCTTTCGCCATCTTCAGCTCCTCATGCAACCTGGGGGGGGTGGAGTGGGAGAAGAGTGTTCAGGCCACATGAGTCCTACCGGTTTCATCCAGAAATGGATGTGATTCTTGAAGAAAGCCAAACAGAACTCCACGTGCCCCCACATACACCCTTTTCCCTTTGAAAGCATGCAGAAAATTCAGTGCTGGTGGACAGTTATCCGATTAATAACCCGAGTTCCCCTAGTCTTCCAAGTGGCAGGGAGATCAGCGATATTTGTATGGGCTGCTGGAGGTGTTTGGGCCTTGCCCTCATGAGGCTTTTTAGCTACCAGCCAAGCAGCACCACAGTGGGAGCTTCTAGCATGTACACTGTTTAAACTGAAGCAGCTATACCTTGGCTACAGTTCCTATGTATGCTGAGAAAGGCAAGGCACAGACATAGCTGTGAAAGACAAGACCTAGACAGAGAAAGAACTGAATGGATGTACCCTACACATTTCTTTACTGAAGGCATCTGCTCCATCTTCTCTGCCACTCACTGCACTACATGAACCACAATTTTATGGTGGCCACTTCTGCTCGGTCATAAACACCGACCATAGTAATTGTCCCTATAAAGCTTCATGTTCAGTCAGAGGACTGTGTCCCATTTGCCTAGCAGTAAATGACAGCAGTCTAGTCTAGGGCTTTGGTCTATAGCTAGCACATACATTCTAGTGACTTTTCTTCCCAACTCATACCTAGCAGGGAGACCACAGGTTCCTTCTCCAACTGTGTACCTCAGGCTATGAGTTTGGTCTCTGAAGCAGTCACTTCTTCCTTTGCATTCCACCAGAGAAAACTGGCAGCAAATCTGACTCCGTGTCTTTCTTGTGAGACACACCCAGGTACCCTAAAGCACTCACTCCAGGGGGAGCATGAGGAAGGAAGTTGATCCACTAGCAGATAGAACATGGGATACTAGTGAAGTAGCATTCCAGCTACATTCTTGACAACTCTGCCGTACATTCTAGTCCCACACTCCACATGGAATTCAGTCTCCTCCAGTGAGCTGCATGGAAACATCTATAGGATCAAGAGCCCAGGAAAAAGGCAAGTCCAGATTCTTGAGCTAATGGGAAGGTGGTGGAAACCCCTTCAAGTGTGTGTGTGGGGAGGGGGGGGGGAGAGGGGGCTGAGTGGGAAAGGAAAAAAAAAGACCTCATGATTGTGAGGAGCTGCACGTGACTCAAGCTGTCAACAGAAGCCTAAATTAGGCCTAATCTGTAGCAGTTTCTATATCAAGGGGACATGGGGAAGATTAAGAGCTGATAAGGGAACCCAAGCTCCCTAGACCAGTGTTTCTCAACCTTTTCTTATCAAGTAACCCCTTTTAAAAATATAAGTACCCCTTTTAAAAAAAAAAAAAAAAAAAAAAAAAAATCTAAGTAACCCCTTTAAAAAAAAATAAGTACCCCCAGTACCTACAGTTTTCAGATATATTTTTACTACCATCGCAACACATTTGTTTAAACAACTGAATCATAGCCGGGCGGGCCAAATTTTGTGTGTAAAAAGTACAAAAATAAAGCGCTGCAAAACTTAAACAAATTCAGTTTTCTCCAAATTTCAGTTGTGCTGACATACCCCCCCAGATGTCTCTCAAATACCCCTGAGGGTACATGTACCACTGGTTGAGAAACACTACCCTTGAGAATAGATGGAATTACAGAAGAGAGGCATCTAAGAAAGGATCCTCAAAAGCAACAGGGCAGACAAGAGAACTAGCCAACGGGAAATGCTGAGGAGAGGGGTTGTGGCTGAAACCTTACCCCAGTGGTCCTCAACGCGGTGCCCATGGGCGCCATGGAACCCGCTGGGGCATTTATGTGCACCTGTTGAATCATCTGGGCTGGCCCCGCCCCCGGCACATGTGCGGTGCCGGCCCCAGGCGCAGGGCACATGAGTGGCCCCGCCCCCAGGCACCGGGCATCCCCAAAAGGTTGGGGACCACTGCTTTACCCCTTCAGGGAGTGAGGCAGTGAGCTTGGGGCTGGAGGAAGCACCTCTCGACTAAGGATTCCCAGATGTGGAGTCAGGTGCCTAAGCTGCTCTTTGAAAGAAACCAGACAGGGCAGAGGAAGTTTGTGGTAGCTGCCCTCTTAAAAGCTTTAGTGCAGTGTTAGAGCATTCACCCAGGATGTAGGAAACATACATGTGTAAGCCCGCTCCCCTCCCATTCAAACTGGTGTCTCCCACCTCTCCGGGGAAGAGCTCTAAGCAGCGAGCTCTGCTATAGTCACCTGTCCGGGCTCCCTCGGTATCTCCTGTTGAAGCGGTTCCACTGGGTGAGACAGAAGAAGTGGGCAAGAGAGGGAGTCGGAATAACGCAACAGGGCACTTGCCCTCAGAAGCAGGAAACCTAGGCGCAATTCCCTGCTCCACATTAGTGGGGGAGGGGAGTGCTCTAACCACTGGGTTATCAGTTATCAGAGACGCCACCTCCCCTCCACCAGCCATGGTGAGAGTTTAAGGGTGCTCTGAGCACACCCACTGGATCAGGCCTGCAGAGGAATGCCCCTAATCAAACATCCTGCTGTGGCTTAGATTTGAGAGGCACCGCGATCGAGGTGTCTGCATGCAGATTCTCTAGCAGAGACACTTAAAACTGTGAACATTGAGGCACATGGGTTCCCAAAGCCCCAATGAGATTAGGCAGCAGCTGAGCAAGGAGACTGAAGATTTCAGTAAGGTGGGTTTTAAAAGCACAAGTCCTCTTGTGGAACCAGCCCCAGGTTATTGCAGACCAGTTATTTAAGGAATCTTGCTTTGGATGTGACCTCCCAGACACACCCTCACCCGCTCTGAGCTAAATTCCTTCTGCAAACTTTAGATATGCTGCATGTTGTCAGAACCTCCTCTATTGGCCAGCTTCCACCTTCCCTAAGCTTGCTACTATTGTGCGCACAAATGCCCTAGAGAAAAAAGGTCCAGGCCTTCCAAAGAAAGGAAGGGTCTGCTTTCAAAATGCCTGCGTTTGGTAGGAGGGACTAGGCAGATGGATACATCCATCTAATACATCACCACCCATGGGCCAGCAGCCAAGTGATATACTCCAAGGTGCATGGCAGAGCAGCCAGCCCTTTACTAGGGGACATGAAATTAAGAGGAGGGTAAAAGAGGAAGGGAGGGAACCTTAACAAGGTGACATAACAGTAACATGTGGCAACATTATGGAGCACATACAGCACCAATAAGAGTCAAAACATCCTTGAGTTATATGCCCAGTTCCACCACCATCTCCTGGAATGACCAAGAGCATTACTGCCTCAGTTTCTCCCAGGCTACAGATGGGAAATAGTACTCCCTGCCTTTGAAGAATGCGTAGGAGAGACTGAAAACTAAGCCAGTGCCAGAGCAATGGCTGACTCCCCTTGGCAAGGAGAGCAACTCGCCTCCCAAACAGATGAGCTATGAATGCCCTGGGTCTTTACATGTCCCAAATCAGCCCATTGCAAACACCTCAGAGTGGGGATAGATTGTGAGCGAGAGCAACAAGCACAGCACTTGCAATAATAATGCACCTGCAGAAGCACGAGAAGAAAACCTGCACACTTGCATCTGTTGAATTGCACACAAGTGGAGGGAAGACCTCAAGTCTACCTGGAGGGACTTCTCCACCCAGAGACGGGTGCCAGCAACTCCTGTGTGTGATCTTTTCTCAAGGGTGCCCAGAGGAGGTGTTAGGTCTTTCATACAAGGGGAGTTGGACTGGTGGTCACTTTAGTTGTTGTACTGCTTTCCAATCCAACCCAGGACAGGGAAAAATGTGGTTCATATAAGACCAGCTACCAGAGTGCTCCCCAAGTGCTTCATATAGTAGGTCTGTATGAAACAGAAGGTGAGCCAGGGGATGGGTTTCCACCCCCTCAGGGGAAATCTAAACCTTCATCTTGAATGGAATCACGATTGTCAGTTAAGTCAAATGATAAATGCCTGCTAGATTTCAGGATAACATTAAGGGTGTTACAGGTCTAGATACCACTGTTAAGTACAGCGACCAATGGAAATCATGCAGGGAATACCCATGGAAACCCTTTGCTGTTTCCCTCCCACTAGGTTTTCCCTCAGCAGTTCCACCATCCACCCTTTCCCACCTCCTGCCCCAGTTCTGACGGGGAGAGAGGACCAGGGTCATGCTCAAGCTTGCCTAAGGGTGTTGTGGAATGTTCATCATTGGAAATTTTTTAAGAGCCGGTTAGACAAACACCTGTCAAAGATGGTGCTTGGTCCTGCCATGAGGGCAGGGGACTGGACTTGATGACCTCTCGAGGTCCCTTCCAATTTTAGGGTGCTAGGATTGTGTGTGGGACTTGAGAAATTAGTCAGACTTCAGGAGCTGCAGCATCATTGCTCTTCAGCAATCTATGGGCAGGTCTGTGCTTTCTGTGCCCCATCAGCTGCACCAGGAACAGGCTTGGTCTATACTTGTTGTCTTGTGTGTTAGAGCTGTCAGGCCAGTGAGGAAAGTGGAAAATGCAAACTAAGCCCATTTGGTAGGCACCCAAAACACAAGGCACATTTTTAGAGCCAAGCAGCCTCATCTCATGCAGCAGCAGCTCCAGCAAGTCCAGCTCAAGGCAGTTTTTAGGTCTTCATTAAACAGAATGCCCACGTTGGACACAGACAACCTGAGGTTTCCCCATTGCTGTGCACGCCGAGAGTCTAGGATTTCCCCTGAGGGAGAGGAAACCCAGCCCTCGGCTTTCCTTCTGTTTCGTACAGACCTAACGTATAAAGCTGATTTGCTCCTCTCCGATTTGTGGGTCAGCAGTTCTCAAGAACAGCTCCACCCCCACACCAGGGACTGGCTGAGCACCAATGTTAACAGAGATAGAAAAAAGAGGGTGTCTAGCCTGGCCTTCTGCAAGAGAGAGGTCTTTCATCTTGCAGCAAGCACTGCCACTCGAGTGTGGGGGCAGGAGAGAGGTGTATAGATTTTCTCTCCTCCACTCTGTGGTAATCCACATGCCTTCTGGGTGTGGTGTGCTGCGAGACAGAAGAAGTGGGCAAGAGAGGGAGTCGGAATAACGCAACAGGGCACTTGCCCTCAGAAGCAGGAAACCTAGGCGCAATTCCCTGCTCCACATTAGTGGGGGAGGGGAGTGCTCTAACCACTGGGTTATCAGTTATCAGAGACGCCACCTCCCCTCCACCAGCCATGGTGAGAGTTTAAGGGTGCTCTGAGCACACCCACTGGATCAGGCCTGCAGAGGAATGCCCCTAATCAAACATCCTGCTGTGGCTTAGATTTGAGAGGCACCGCGATCGAGGTGTCTGCATGCAGATTCTCTAGCAGAGACACTTAAAACTGTGAACATTGAGGCACATGGGTTCCCAAAGCCCCAATGAGATTAGGCAGCAGCTGAGCAAGGAGACTGAAGATTTCAGTAAGGTGGGTTTTAAAAGCACAAGTCCTCTTGTGGAACCAGCCCCAGGTTATTGCAGACCAGTTATTTAAGGAATCTTGCTTTGGATGTGACCTCCCAGACACACCCTCACCCGCTCTGAGCTAAATTCCTTCTGCAAACTTTAGATATGCTGCATGTTGTCAGAACCTCCTCTATTGGCCAGCTTCCACCTTCCCTAAGCTTGCTACTATTGTGCGCACAAATGCCCTAGAGAAAAAAGGTCCAGGCCTTCCAAAGAAAGGAAGGGTCTGCTTTCAAAATGCCTGCGTTTGGTAGGAGGGACTAGGCAGATGGATACATCCATCTAATACATCACCACCCATGGGCCAGCAGCCAAGTGATATACTCCAAGGTGCATGGCAGAGCAGCCAGCCCTTTACTAGGGGACATGAAATTAAGAGGAGGGTAAAAGAGGAAGGGAGGGAACCTTAACAAGGTGACATAACAGTAACATGTGGCAACATTATGGAGCACATACAGCACCAATAAGAGTCAAAACATCCTTGAGTTATATGCCCAGTTCCACCACCATCTCCTGGAATGACCAAGAGCATTACTGCCTCAGTTTCTCCCAGGCTACAGATGGGAAATAGTACTCCCTGCCTTTGAAGAATGCGTAGGAGAGACTGAAAACTAAGCCAGTGCCAGAGCAATGGCTGACTCCCCTTGGCAAGGAGAGCAACTCGCCTCCCAAACAGATGAGCTATGAATGCCCTGGGTCTTTACATGTCCCAAATCAGCCCATTGCAAACACCTCAGAGTGGGGATAGATTGTGAGCGAGAGCAACAAGCACAGCACTTGCAATAATAATGCACCTGCAGAAGCACGAGAAGAAAACCTGCACACTTGCATCTGTTGAATTGCACACAAGTGGAGAGAAGACCTCAAGTCTACCTGGAGGGACTTCTCCACCCAGAGACGGGTGCCAGCAACTCCTGTGTGTGATCTTTTCTCAAGGGTGCCCAGAGGAGGTGTTAGGTCTTTCATACAAGGGGAGTTGGACTGGTGGTCACTTTAGTTGTTGTACTGCTTTCCAATCCAACCCAGGACAGGGAAAAATGTGGTTCATATAAGACCAGCTACCAGAGTGCTCCCCAAGTGCTTCATATAGTAGGTCTGTATGAAACAGAAGGTGAGCCAGGGGATGGGTTTCCACCCCCTCAGGGGAAATCTAAACCTTCATCTTGAATGGAATCACGATTGTCAGTTAAGTCAAATGATAAATGCCTGCTAGATTTCAGGATAACATTAAGGGTGTTACAGGTCTAGATACCACTGTTAAGTACAGCGACCAATGGAAATCATGCAGGGAATACCCATGGAAACCCTTTGCTGTTTCCCTCCCACTAGGTTTTCCCTCAGCAGTTCCACCATCCACCCTTTCCCACCTCCTGCCCCAGTTCTGACGGGGAGAGAGGACCAGGGTCATGCTCAAGCTTGCCTAAGGGTGTTGTGGAATGTTCATCATTGGAAATTTTTTAAGAGCCGGTTAGACAAACACCTGTCAAAGATGGTGCTTGGTCCTGCCATGAGGGCAGGGGACTGGACTTGATGACCTCTCGAGGTCCCTTCCAATTTTAGGGTGCTAGGATTGTGTGTGGGACTTGAGAAATTAGTCAGACTTCAGGAGCTGCAGCATCATTGCTCTTCAGCAATCTATGGGCAGGTCTGTGCTTTCTGTGCCCCATCAGCTGCACCAGGAACAGGCTTGGTCTATACTTGTTGTCTTGTGTGTTAGAGCTGTCAGGCCAGTGAGGAAAGTGGAAAATGCAAACTAAGCCCATTTGGTAGGCACCCAAAACACAAGGCACATTTTTAGAGCCAAGCAGCCTCATCTCATGCAGCAGCAGCTCCAGCAAGTCCAGCTCAAGGCAGTTTTTAGGTCTTCATTAAACAGAATGCCCACGTTGGACACAGACAACCTGAGGTTTCCCCATTGCTGTGCACGCCGAGAGTCTAGGATTTCCCCTGAGGGAGAGGAAACCCAGCCCTCGGCTTTCCTTCTGTTTCGTACAGACCTAACGTATAAAGCTGATTTGCTCCTCTCCGATTTGTGGGTCAGCAGTTCTCAAGAACAGCTCCACCCCCACACCAGGGACTGGCTGAGCACCAATGTTAACAGAGATAGAAAAAAGAGGGTGTCTAGCCTGGCCTTCTGCAAGAGAGAGGTCTTTCATCTTGCAGCAAGCACTGCCACTCGAGTGTGGGGGCAGGAGAGAGGTGTATAGATTTTCTCTCCTCCACTCTGTCACTCGAGTGTGGGGGCAGGAGAGAGGTGCATAGATTTTCTCTCCTCCACTCTGTGGTAATCCACATGCCTTCTGGGTGTGGTGTGCTGCCCCATCTAGTGGCACTGAGATCACTTACTGAGGGAATAATGAGTCTGTCCTAAAGCTTTAGCTAACTTCCTTCTGGTTGTTGGCTCCTGCCCTAAGTTTCAGAAGTTCCAGGTTTGATTCTGCTGGCAAATGCCTGGAGTCTGTCAGGATTATACCTATGCTCCCACTTAGCCAATCAACATTAGTGCTCAGCACAGAGATGCCACTAGGTTAACCTACTCCCAGATTTATCTCCTCCCAGTTTTATGGAGCTGTTTGTGCACCACATTTTGAAATGCGTGCAGTAAGAGGCTAGAGACAACAGATCCAGTCGTCTTATTGAACAGGCTCACATAGGGTTTGCCCATCATTCAATCCAAGGTGTTTCCAAATGCGTCAGCTGTTGCATTCAGAGTCATTCGTGCACAACTGAACAAACCAAATCTTGCAGCAACAGAAAGGTTAGGTTCATCCACCCAGCACTAACTTGCCTTTAACCAGATACATCTGAAAAGTTCAAGGACCACACCTTCTATTTCTCTAACTAACAAAGCCCAGATTACTGAACATTTCCCTTCCAGCCTTAGGAAAAAAAAAATGTTTTCACTCATGCAGGAATAATAAACGACATCAGCCAAATATCAAGGTGTGTCTCAAAGATTTCTCACATGGAAGGAGACAGGAGTGTTTGGTTGGGGTAAGTCCCTTAACCGTGGAGGGTTTACTGCATTCTGCCTTCCTCACACATTCAAAATAAGACTTTCATTCTTGAATGTAGTGGTGTTGTAGCTGTGTGAGGCCAAGGATATTAGAGACCAGGTGGGTGAGGAAGTCTCTTTTATTAGACCAATTTTTGGTTGGTGAGAGATATATACTTACACAGAGCTCTTCTTCAGAGCAAGAAAAGCTCTCTGTAAGGTCAAGGCTGGTCTCTCTCACCAACAGCAGTTGATCTAATAAAAGATGTTACCCCACCTACCTGGTCTCTCTACAATCTCATTCTGATCAGCTGCTAAAGAGAAATTGAGGACTGACAGTAGAGGAGACAGATTTGCATTAGACAAAATGACATTTTCTAATTTAGTAGAAAATTCAAGCCTCGAGGAACTTGATAACATTGTATCTTTAGCTTCAGGGGGTAGCTGAGTTAGTCTGTACAGGATAAACTTTAAAAAACAACAAATAGTCTGGTATCACTTTAAAGACTAACAAAACATGTAAATGGTATCATGCGCTTTCGCAGGCACAACCCACTTCTTCAGATGACCAGATGATCTTTAGTTAGCTTCAAAAAAATTAAGACAAGGGGAGACTATATGAACTTATGGTCATTTTAGACGCCATATCGAATTCTTTAAGCATTGTGGATGAAAGACTATATAGGAGCAAAGCATTTCACAAGTGTTCATTTGCAGCTCTGCTTTCTTTGCCCTTCAACAAGCTCCTCCGGTAACTTCACCCACCACTGAAATGCTGCCATCTCGGAAATGGAAAAGCTTGTTTAACAGCACTCAAACACCCCAGGTTTAAGAAAAAAGACTACAATACCCAACCAGTTATTTCAGACCACAGGAATAAAATAGACCCCCCAAAACAAGTGCCTTACTAATTAAGTCTTTTTTAGAGAGAAATTGTTATCTATGAAAGGATGCTTATGAGAACCCTAGAGTGCCTGTTCAATTATCAGGTATAATAACCTAAGAAATAGGGAACAGTTGTTTTCTTCCCTCCCTTACTAGCTTTATTGAACCAAACCAGAAAAGGACACCCCCTTCCTTCTTTCAGAAGAGAAGTAAGTATAGAGATCACACTTTATCTGTAACCTTTATTCCTGCACTCAGAGATATATTGGCAATATGTAACAACTTTTTTCTAAATGTTCATGTCTCTAAGAAGTAAAATAAAGGAACAGTACAGAACAGGCAGCCTGCAGGCAGAAAAGAAAGATACTTAATAAGCTCTTATAGTTAATCCCATCAAATTACTAAACACCCACTCACTTATATTGCAGATACTAAAATAAGCCATTAACTACAAAAGCCTCCTTATTTTTCATGTAACACAGCAGTAGCTTGACTATCCAGAGAAAAGGAATACAGCAATTTACTCACCTGCTGTGCTGTGCTGTGCTGTGCTGCTATCCTACAGAAACTCAACCACACCTGTAAAGCTAAGCAAGCCCCCCTGCAGCTCTGCCTGTCTTTAAAGGTCCCCGAGTGCTTAGGAAAAGTGGTTTTGATTGGTGGGGTGTGCAACATATGAGAGGAACCTGTTTCTAGCCAAACCTGTTCCTGGGTTGGGATGGGAGCAGAAGGTGCCTCTTTGATTGTACTGGAATGTGGTTGTACTGAAAATACACACACCAAAATGTATTATTATAATCTATTGGGATGGACAAGTGACTCACTCCTAGGAGATCTCTGAACTTTAAAAAGGATAGGTGAATCAGAAGTACATACGTGTGTGTATTACTGCTGGATGGACTGTTATTTTAATGACTCCATTTTGGTATCCCCAAAGAGAATACTCTGAGTGGAAAAGTCAGAAAGGGTTTTTAAGAAATGCCTTCATTGTCCTGAAAAAGGGGGCTGAGGGGAAAAAGTGAAAACCCACCAAATTGGGTTTGCACTCTGATCTGTGTCTGCATGTTTCATAAAGAAGGCATGAAAGATAGGTGCATTTGGGTGGAGTTATTAGGTTTCTTTACCTTCAGTGGGTTTTCTAAATGAGAAATTCAGGTTTTACCCACCCTAGAAGACTATGAATGACCAGAGAATGAGTAGGATTATGACATCACACTTGGGCTTAATTTTGCACAGGAGGAGTATAAAGTACCCACAGTTAAATGTGTGTGGAAGTCTTTGTAGCATTACTGATTAGGGAGTGAAAGCTTGTTCACTGAAGAAAAGCGGGCAGGGGAACACTCGAGACAAAGGATATCTTTAAGATTCATCAGCCCCTGCTTCCATCCCACTCAGTGAAGGGCTATGAAAACTCATGATCTCCATTTCTGGGATTCCCAGGTAAAGTTGACTATACTTCTTCATAATTGAGGTTAAAAAACAAACAGAGGGAAAAAAACTTGGGGATGGGGTCCCAGTCTTTCAGGAGCTCTGTATACATCAAAAAGTGCATACATGGGCACCAGTTCAATTACCAAAAGAAAAAAAATCCCCAGTAACCCACCTTTAAAGTGCCTTAAGGAGTGAGAATTCTGAAAGTTCTTAACATTGTGGGGGCCTCCCCTCCAGGCATGTCCCTAGGATTACTACACAACCAAAAAAAAAAAAAAAAGCCCCACTCCTAGAGAATGTAGGGCAGGTTTTTCACAGAACCCCATGTATACTGGACTTGGGTAGTTTAACCTCTGTGGATACCCACTTACTGCTGCCAGGAAAACCACATTAGGTTGTCATAAGGACAAGTGAAGAAGGAACTAGCTGTTCTATATAATCACTGTTCTTGTGACACATGGGGTAGATAGACACACCTGCTTGCCTGTGTCCCATTGCTTGTCTTATTAGGGCAGTGAACCTGTGAGGTGGGAGTGTTTGCTTGGGATAACAGTCCCCTAGAGGAATGAGGCAAAGGCTGCACTTCATCAAAGAAAGTGTCCCTGATTAAAGAGCACTTTCAGTGGCAGTGAGGTTTATGCTGTTATGCCTAACACTTCAGAACAAAATATAAAACATTTTCCAGAGGTGAAAATACATGGGTGAGCTCTGGTGCGCAGCTCTGGCAAGAGCTGGCTGAGCTATGGCAAAAGCCAGCAGGGAGCTGTTTAAAGAGCTGTGAGGGACCCGGTTTGTAATAAGACAGTGCCTGTAAGAAATGTTAAGTTACTTTCACTGCTGGCATTTACACTCCCTAGAAGCACAGGTTGCAAGCCCCGCTGGGCTGATGCAACCCTCTCATTCTTCTGCAGTACTGGAGAGAAAAAGACTGGCTTTCAATGTATTGGTCTGCTCTGCTCTACTGGACATAAAGGATCCCTGCATTACTGGCATGGATTGTGGCTTCACAGAGCCCCCTGCCAGCTATAGCTACAGCAACAGCTAAATGATCTTTTGGCTGCAATGATGATACTGTTTGCTACAGCCCAAAGGAGAATGAAAGGCAAATAGAAGCTCCATCTCTTTCAAGAATGAGGCAAGGTGTGCAGAAAGTCTGGTTTGGGAGAGGAGGTGAGGAAAGTGCCTGCCTAGGAAGCAAGGAGAAGGGGTCAGCAGCATTGTGAAGAGCTGGGGCCAGTCAGTCACAAGCCTGAAGAGAAGTTTTCCAGAAAGTGCTGTCGAGTGTCTGTTGCTTGACCTAATCCCCAGTCGAGTGCTTGTGGACAGGCCTTGCCGTTCGCCCTATCTTGAGTTGGAAGTGGGGGGAGAGATGGAATGCGAGTCGTTGCTGTCACTGCTGTTTGTCTAGTGACAGCTTTCTGTCCAACTGGCTTAGCAGGCTCACAAGGAGATGGTGGGATCAGATCAAGAAAGAATTTTGGTGTCTGAAGGAGGAGCAACACGCTGCTCTTTTGAAAGCAAAGCTCAGTTTGTGTCCTCACACATACACAGGCCTGGACACACAGGGTGTGAGTTTGTTGTGCCAGCAAGGTAACAATGGCTCTTCAGCTCAAGCTGCAGCTGCTTGTGTTTTTTAACATGGGAGATTCCGAATTCAATCCCTGCCGTGCTGGCCAGAAAGGCAGCAGCCAAACATGCGATGCACACACTGGTGTATTCAGACACACACAAACATATTGACCTTGAAACAGAGCAATCTGCAACTGGCTGAGCCCCAGATGTCTCACTGTCCCAGCTCAGTCCCTTGGGGCCACTTTGCAGTGTAGCCAATTATTTTAAATTATTGTTCATTTATTGGATGGCGAATTAACACGCTATGTCATATGCAATCACTCTATGCTCACTAGATTGAAATGATGGATGTATAAGACTGATCAATAGTTAGAAGGGATAATGATCTGTTAGGTATGTAAATAAGCTGGGCTGAAACACAAGGACTACAGGCTGAATGAGGCCTGTAAGATTTTAGCTGAGCCATACTAGGCCATAGCCTTGAATTATTTGACATAGTGACTAAAGAACTTGACACAAGTAAGTGACCAAGGAATGATGCTATGCCACAAGATTACAGGAAAAGTTGTGCCAGTGGGTGATATTATGAAACATTAACAGCAAGAGTTAATTTTTTGTTTCATAGCATGGGCAGTGGGTACAAGAGGCTTGGGAGGCTAAATCTCCCCAAATGGGGCAAGAAATGCTGGCTGTGGCGCAGTTCTCTTTGGAAGGGTGCAGCTAGTCATCTTTGGAGCACCACTGTGGGAAGATCTCGAGAACTGGGGGAGTGGAGGGGAGACAAAATTGTGGTCCTGCACTCCTACTCTGCCTTGAGACCCCACTCTCCACCATCCACTCTACTCCGCTGTGTCCCCCAATGGCCCCATTGCCCAATGACCACAGCAATATTAGCGTATGTATACAGGATAGGTGCAGGGTGTGTTGCTTGTGGGGGAAGCATGAGGTTGGAATGAACAGTGCTTGTTGAAAAAGGGGGGAAAAAAGTGAAATATTTTGAAATTGTTTTCCTTTTGTGAGGTTTGAAATAGACCAATTTTTCTTTTCCTCTTTTTTCCATTATTTCCCCATTTTTGAAAATTGTAACAAAATAGGCATTCAAACTTTTCTGAAGAAAAAGGTTAAAAGAAAAAATGAAAAAATAAAAATAAAAGAAGGAAAAAGAAAAAAAACAAGAAAAGAGGAAAAAAGGGGGAAATGAAAAACTAAAACCTTAAAAAAAAGAAAATTAAAAAAAAGAATTAGCAGTCTAAGTATTTCTGATTTTCATCTAAAAAATCAAAAGATTAAAAAAAATCTAACATTTTGCCAAAAAATCATTTACAAAGCCTTGTATCAAACAATAACAACAAAACCAAGCAGAAAACCACAGCAAATCTTTTTGTAAGAAAAATTTCAACCAGCTCTGTTACCTAAGGGCGTGTGTATGGGACATGAACATGCTTCATGCGCAGCGAGTTTCTTCATTAGGTGGAAGCAGAAGGAAGCTCCTTATGAAAGTGAAGTCTGTCATTGATGGTGGAAACTTGCTGTGTGGGCAAGAGGATGCTGCTAAGAGGTGCCCCATAACTTGGGATTTCCTTGCTCTTTAAAATATGCTTGGGGAAGCGGGGCGATCAGAGGATGTCTTAAACTGAATATCCAGCCAGACTCAGAAGCTCAGGAGAGCAGGGAATGCTGTAGCACTCTCAGGTTTCTCCACATCCAGCGGCCAGCCCCAGTGTTCCCTGGAAGCTGTGAGCTTGTGCAACCACTCAGGAGAGATTCCAGTGCTGCCCAGCTGACTAGCAGAACACCCAAAGCACCCACAGTCATCAGCATGTGTTTCTACTGTTGGTGCACATCCGCATGTGCCTTGGGGCACATAAAAATTTTATTCTGCTTAAGATTAGAGAGAATATTGGCTGACCCACCAGCCACTCCGCTGGCCTCCAGAGGATCCCTTCAGTTTCCCACCAGCACCACTGGCTTTGCCACCCATCGGGGTCTCACCACCCACAGGATCTGCAGCCCAATGTCCCTGCTTCCACTCAGGTCCCACCACTGGCCCGTGACTCTGCAGCCACTTCTAGTTGTGACTAGGTGGCCAACTCTCCCGAACCAGGCAGACCAAGCCAGGTGTCACTTGATCTGCAAGGAGGCTGTGCCCCTTAGGGATTTGTCATGACAATGATGATAGCCTGCAGCAGAATGAAGATTACAAATAAAACCTCGTGGACTTCCTGGGCCATATCCGTGAGTCTGCCTTGCTATCAAGCTAGGGAGAGATAGAACCATAGAGCACTAGGACTGGAAGGGACCGCAAGAGGTCATGGAGTCCAGTCCCCTGCCCTCATGGCAGGGCCAAGCAGATGGACCCTCTTTATCCTCCTGCATGCAGCTTAAAGTTCAGAGTAACCTTACAGCAGGAGAATGGAGGCCACTGGACAAAGAAACAAGACCTCATAAGTCTGCCTCACTTCCATGTTGAGAAGATGAACCCCCTTAGTGTTGATTACATTTGCAACTTGGCCTGGGAAGATAATAAGGATACTCAGATCACATGCTTACAGCATCAGGATCAGTGTGCCCTATAAGCTGAGCTGGAGCGGCCGCCCGGAAGACATTCAGGTGCTGCCCAGCTGATTAGCAGAGTGCCCAC